CTTCTTACGCAGGTTTTCCAGTTGTCGAATCAGTCTCGATGTATCCTCCCCGTAGAGGCGTTTTATCAGACTATGAAGGCTTTCACGGCCGGTAAATTACATTTACATTCCTAAATGTAATTTAACCGGCCGTGTGCACTTATTAGTGTGGTTTTCAAATCCACATATTTTTTAGCATTTTCCAAATAGGTATGGATAGCTGGTGCATAGTTCTCTGGGTCTTCTTCTAAATATTTTACCATTGCATCACAATGTGCTAAGTATCTTTTTTTATGTCATCAACATCATGCATTGATGTCCATTGATTGTCCATTATTCAGCAGTTTTGGGGCGTCAATACTACTAATTTCCGTTTCTTCTGAGGTCTGTGTGTTGTTTCTTGGATCTAGTTGCATACTTTCTTCTTCTGTGCTATCGAAGGTGATTAATAGCGACTTGAATATATTTTTGTTTGTAGATTTTCCGTAGGCCACTAAAAAGAGTTCATGTTTCATAGCGTTTGACAAAGTGTTAAATGCTGTAAGAAGATTGTACTATTTTAAGACTAATCCTTGATGCTTGCAGTGCTTCCTGTTGAATCCCACTGGACAGGTGCATTTACAATCCTGCATATCAATAAAATAAATACTTTCTGAATTTTCACTTGAGACAGAAAATTCAAGCGTTTCCATGTTTGCATCAGTAATTGTCATTTTACTTTCGGAAGAAATGGGTTAGTATTTAGTAGCAACACCTTTAGATGTTCTTTAATAGAGTAAGTCTGGTATTTGTTTCTTGTAGTAGTTTTCAAAACAAATGTCAATGTAATCCGTCAGTTGCACTAAATTAAACGCTTTTGCTCTTTTCAGAAGTGTGTCCTTTAATAGACGGAACATTACTTCGGTGTAATTATTGGTATCACTACCTATCAATGGCAATTGAACCTGTAATAAATACACCATATTTGTTCTTGATTAAGACACATTTCGCGTATATATTCCTGGAAACCTTTGTGCCTACAATGTTTAAAGAACGTTCATTTAGTGTTGTGGCGTACAAAATAGTCTTGAAAAGTTTATAGTAGTTTTGCGCATCGTCTCGGGGAACTCCATTTTTACTCGTGAGTATCCAACGCCAGATCGCTTTAAGAACATGAAATGTACACAATAATATTATAGCACGAGGCCAGTTTTTCTGTAAAACAGTACGTGCGCCAAGATCATTATCTGTTAAAATTACTCTGGGCTGGACTTTTTTGGGCATAATTTCTATTAAATCTGCCACTGCTACATCGAATAAATCAGTTTCTTCTAGTTTTTTCTAACATGTGACTACCAGTTCTTTCACCAAAGTCCTTCTTAAACTTCTTCTTCCACAAATTGGCGACATCGTTTTTAGTTGGCATGTAAAACAGGAAAATACCAATGATGACTTTGAGGTGTATTGAAACAAATGTTTGTCACACAGTTGTCAAAACAATAAAACTTTAAATTAGATACTTACCTATCATATAAAATATTTTCATAATCATCTCCGTATACTTCAAATTTTTAAGTATGTCGGTTTCTTTGACTCGACTCCTCAAATATTTTCTTTATACCGATAGTTATTTTTGCTTTACGATCTCTATTCTTTGATTTTCTTTTACGTTTCTTGCTTTTAGTTTCATGTTCTGAGTTTACTGTTTCTTTATTTTTGATTGAGGTATTGGAATGACATCTATACATTATTTTGAATAAATTTCTAAGAGCATTAGTGGGCACTTTAAAAGTTTTCTCAATAGTCCATGTTTCTTTTCCATTTCAGGTCCACTATCCATTTCTGAACAGTTAACTGAAGTTATTAAACAATGTCGTTTCAGATACTTTCTGGATATTGTCAGATTGTATATCTTGATAAACGTAGAATTTATAAGACAATAAGCACACATCTTGACATTGTCAAACATACAAATAATTGAATTTTTAACATTCCCCTTATCAAATATGTTTAAAAATTCTATCCTAGTATTCTGTTTCTTTACTTACCTGAACATCTTCTTTTGAATTAAATTTGGTCATTATACTTTGGAGATCATTTTCCATCGTAGCTTTGTATTCATAGTTTTCTAGTAGGTTACTTAAATCACTCATATTTTATTTGATTTACTCTTTCGAATTAAACCACAGGCACGACCGTTGAACTTCAAAGCCTCAATGATTGAAACGAGAATTAAGAAAAAACGAGGCATGAATTGAAAGTCAGTAAATAACAGACCTATCATCCGGATACGTCAGGTATTAACCAAGCGCTCGAGCGCTGCCGAAAAATCTCGAACGGATGACGCGTCGAGTATTTACAAATATGCGTCCGGGGGATCCCCTTTAGCCCGGTTGTGTGTTTGAATGAGTTGTGTTTAGTAATCATATAGCCGATACACGTTAGGAATTAACTGGTTGATTGGGAATTAATCTAAGAGATAAGATTATAAATCTCATTGCATCAAGAACTTTTGTGATAAGCGTTACATAGTACCTACCTACAGTTCAAAATTGAAACTTTTGTGAATTACATGGATTATATAAAAGGTATGGTGAGGGTTTGCAATTAATATAGTGTGTAGGCTACATCACGAAGTAAGTAAACTTTAATGTTGTATCCATTTGAATATTCGAATTAAAATAAGTTGTATAAATAAGTCTCAATATTTTGATGATTAATATTCCGGACTTTTTAATACGTTTTAAATCGGAGATAACCGATAAATATAAATAGATAACATATTTGGTCTATTTCTAGATAGTACGCGTTTCGTCTGGAATTTGAAAGAGAAGGTGATGGGGCAGAATAAAACTAAGGTAAAAATTCTAACATATATTTTCAGTGTGTTCCAGCTTTGAATTAAAAGGTTTATAAGTAGGAATCCAACAATTGTCAAATCGCTAACAGTACACATACTGTACACAATTATAGAGTCAAATTTAATATTCATTGTTGGAACAGCCCTTGTTATTTAGAGTTTGAGACTGAGAACAATTTGTCATAGCTTCACCAAGAAAAAAAGTACAATTTATCAACACATACAGGGTGATTCAAAATTGGCGTCATTCCTTTTAAGGGGTGATAGAGGCTCCCTTGGGGAGTACGAGAAAAATATTGAAAATTTCTAGCAGATATTAACAGTTGAAGATCAAATTTCAACTTTGTTATTAAGCATTATTTTGAACTGGTTCCATGTTTAATAGGTAGCATATTGGAAGACTTAAGCATTCAAAAATAAAAATAACGATCTTTGCATCAAATGACGAAAATTTTTGATATCAAAAAAGTTCTCTTCTACAATTTTTTGATGAAAAGACACAGCGGCAATGATGTTTTTTGTCATTAACAGATAGTTACAGGTGGATAGCCCTTGTCAATAATAACAATAATGTGTCAAACTGTGACTTACTTTGAATTTCCTTTTACGAATTTGCGGATATGCGACTAGTTTAGGGGAAATGCTATAGTAACATAGCAGAAGCTGGAGAGTGGTTCCACGAAGATAGTGGACGGCAATATATGTTCGGGTTCCAGGCGCAGAGGAACTTCCAGGGGCACTCAGAACACAATAACTGACACTTTCCCAAGCACCAAATAAATACCGACGGATACATTCCTACCACGTTGGTACGATACACACAGCACAAGGAGATACAAATGGAGCAGGAGTTAATTAAGTGAATACGAGAAGCTGCTTGATAAAAGTAGATAATAAGGAGATTACACAGGCACTAGCTTGTTTCGAGTTAACCATTCAAATGTTTGGTTTTCGAGGAGAATATTCGAGGTTATGAGAACAGGTTGACATTTCGTCAACAAATCACTGGCGGCTAAACGTAGAAATACGATCCATCTAATGCGCATGCGCTGACTATAAGCCATCAGCTGTTGATTTTTAAATTACCAAACTCTTTTAAGTTAGGATTGGTCCGCTGATAATCCGTGACGAATCTATAGCGTGTTCGAAGTTACTCTATCTTAATTTTAACTAATTTAATCTTTTGTTCGCTAGTTCAGAAAAATAAATATGAGTCTGGTTTGTTTATCTTGCAATAAAGCTTTTGCACATCAAAGCAATTATAATCGCCATCGCCGTGAGTTTCACAGATTGGACGGTCAAGTTGTTATTGAATATGCATACAAAATATAATTATTTAAATGCGAAGAATGCCGTGTGTCCTTCAAAAAAAAATGAACATTTAAGACATCATTTAACAGAGAAACACAACTTAAATTTTGGCGATTGTGAGGAATTCTCCTTTAGTTCTTACCAAGGTATGTAAAGTTGATAAAAAATATATTTGCAACTGTAACTAACATGTACATTTTTATATGTACAATTACTTAGTATTAAGTTTGTTACTTAGGTACCTGCTGAACATATCACCTGTCTTTTTATCTACTGTAGACTGACTGACTATTTTGTACTCTCTGGACTAATTGGACTTCTTTAAAATTGGTTTACGCGGCTTTCCTCAAATTACTGTCGTTTGGTCTTTACATCTTGTGTTGTTATCAAACAGACTTGCCCGGTTTTTGGTAGATTCCCTTATTGGTTCGATAACTATCGGTCCGCTAAAGTTGTAGATTCTACAACTTATGGTGGATTTCTCAACGTGTCTAAACGTCAAAGCTAGTGGATCCATAACTATCGAGTCTATAAAGTAGGCAAAGCTTGGTATTCTGTGGGTAAAGCCATATAACGGCTGAGAAGAATCTGTAAAGAATGGTTAGAGTGACTTGTGTTACAAAAAAAAATTGTCCGGTTTATTTTACTTCCGAGATCTGGTGCCTATTTAATATTACAAGCTATAAGTGTTGGGCTCCGAAGAAAAAATCAAATAAATACAAACTATGCAAATGTATTTTGTCATACTTCCTGTTGCATAAAACCTTAGAGTAATTAGCAATTGTTCGCAAAAAGATGAACTGTGGTTTATCTGTATCACTGGCTGAATTTGTTTCTGAAGTAGCTCTACTAGGTAGTAAACAACATTTCTGATTACACGAAAACGATCTTGGAATTCATCTTCGCCGTATTTCTCAAAATGATCATTTGGTGCTCAAAAATGGCGAATTATTTCACTATTCAGAACATCGAAAACTTCCTCGTCAGATGAGTCCGAAGTGGAATCTTCCATTATATTCAAAAACTTTGCTTCCCTTTCACACTCAAATTTTGCTCCCAAAAATGTTATTATTGTTTTCCCAAAACGCGTTCTTTGCTCGCAGCTGATTTCGTATGACTTTTGACACTAATGGCAAATACGCGTGCGTGCGCTGCTCCTACAACTTATAGAACCGATAAAGGTCCGTGTCCGTTATCGGTTCTTCCGTCCGTGTCCGTTATCGGTTCTTCAATGTAACGAACCGCTAGCTCTTATCGAACGTTTCAGAAACCCATTTTTCCGAATTGTAAATCCGTTTAGGCTATTGGAACTATAAAGATCGTTTCAGAAACCGGGCATCAGTCGCTTTGAGCACGTTTAAGTAGTCGGTCGTCAGTGGTATATTTTCGGCATTCGAAAGTATACATTTAGGAATGTTTTCCGGGCTTTAAAGCCGTGGTCTATCGGAATTTCTTCCTGACGTTTCGTCCACAACTGCGGTGGACATTTTCAAAGGCGATGAGGCAGTGGGCGAAGTGATCTCCC